GATCCTGCTGCTCACTATCTGGGCAGTGTTGTTTGAGAAATCTTGTGGGGAGGCTTTGATTTCCTTGCTTGTGAAATGGGAAGAAAAATTTTCTTGTAAAATAGGAGGAAATTTTTGTTTCTTGCAGAAATTGTTGTAAGTACTGTTTGTACTCCTGGGGGCCAGGGAGATAGCTCAGTGGCATAAGTGCCTGCCTTGCAAGTGCAAAGTCCTGAGTACACTCTCTGGTACAAATAATAATAATAATAATAATAATAGTAATAATAGTAATAATAGTAATAATAGTAATAATAATATTCCTGGGTTCACAGCAATTTTATTCATAGTAGATAAGAGGTGGGGTGTTCCCAGGTGGATGAATGAACACACAATGCAGCACACACAGGTGCACGCACAGAGCACACACACAAGCATCTGAGGTCTTAGAAAGGAAGGAAATTCTGATGTACACTCCAACATGGATGAACATTAGGGTACTATGCCAAGGTAAGTGATCCAGTCACAAAAATACAAATACTGTATTATCTCACTCATATGAGGCCCGGAGTAGAGACATTTGTGAGGACAGAAATTGGAATGGGGGTTGCCAGAGGCCAGGAGTAAAGGAGACAGGGAGACAGTGGTTACTAAGCATAGACTTTCAGGTTTGTCTGGTGAAAAAGTCTAGAAATGGATGATATTGACAGCTACACAAAAACTAATATATTTAACACCACTGAACTGAACACTTAAAAATTGTTAAAATCTTATGTGATAAATTTTATGTTATATGTGATTTTTATCATAATAGAAAAAAATTGGGAAAATTGCTGTGAACATTAAATAGCATCAGGTAGATGACAGGCCTGCCATCTCACTGGGGTTCAATCAATAGTAATCACTTTTGCTATGGTGAGGATACAGTATTTTAATAGTTACATGATATTTTGTCATGTAACTCTCACCTTTTTCTTCTTTGTTAGACTTTGGATTTCTTACAGTACCCTCTATTATAATAACATTGTGGATTTTTTGTGTGTGTTTATGTAACTTTGAGGGTTATAACTTTGGGGCAGATTGTGAGTCACTCTATCTGGGTGAATTGGTGTCTTCCAGGCTCTAACCACGTGTGCCATGGGCTCTCTAAGGTGACATTCTAATTTCCTGTCACACACCAAGTGAGGGCACCAGTTTCACTCTGTCCTCAATAACACCACATCCTTCTAAGCAGCTTTATAAAATGTAATAAAAGATGTTAATATTTTAATATGAATTTCTTTGTTTTTTGTTGAGCATTTTACATATCTTGTTGATTTACATTTATTTTTCCACCTAGGTGAATATTCTGCTTACATCTTTTGCTTATATTTTGCAAGTGATTTTACTGCTTTTCATACTAAATATATATGGTGTATTTGTACATATTGTGGCCCTTTTTAATATTCAAGAAGTCTTAATGCTTATGTAGTCAAATAAACTCATTTGGAGGTTTTCAAAAAATTTTATTTATTCATTTGGTACAGGGACTCACTACGCAGCTCAGACTTGTAGTGATCCCCTTTTCTCAGCCTCCTCAGTGCTGGGATTATAGGTGTGCACTCCCACGCCTGATTTTGGTGGCCGGCATGGCATGCCTGGGGCTCTGGGGCTGGCATGGCATGTAGTACTGGGATCGAACTCGGGTCCTTGCACTTGCCAGGCAGGTGCTTAGACTGCTGAGCTATCTCCCCAGCCTGAATCATTCATTTAAGCATTTCAAATAACCAAATAAGATTTCAAGGCAGGGGCTGGGGAGATGGCTCAGGAGAATAACCGCTTGCCTGGCAAGCGCAAGGGCCTGAGTTTAATCCCTGGTTCCGCAAAAAAAAAAAAAAAAAAAAAGATTTCAAGGCAGATCAAAATGACTTTATATAACATGATTATTATCTTTGCTGTACCTTCTTGAGCCCTCCATCATCCTTTTCATATCTGTTAGCATATAATCTGCTTAAATGCTAACTTAAATGGCTATCATATTTAAATTAAAATCATATAGACTGACCAATTAATAAAAATTAATATAATAATTGACTCATAACTCAATATAAAAGGGACATAACAAAAATTAAGAGAATGAAGAAAGTTTACTCATGAACATGAAATTTATTTACTTTACTAGCAATTCAATTCATTTGAAAGTAGACAATAGAGCGCCATCTTCCCGCTATAAGCTGCTAAGGATTGAAGACTGAGTGAGTGGGTTGGACTGGCACCCCACATGCTGCTGGTGGGGAAAGAAAAGGAGTCAACTTTTCTGAAGCAGTCTGGCACCAGGCATCAGGAAATTTAAAAATGTTTATAAACGTTGATTTAGAAATTCTACTTATACAACAATGGCTTGAGGCAGCGTCAGAAGTGTAGAAAAATATTTACATTCAGGGCTAAAAATAGGATTCAGTCTAAATGTCCAATGACAAGGAAATGACTGAATAAGTAAGCAGACAACCATCTGATGGAGTGTTATGCAGTCATTATAAATGGTGTTTTCTAAAAATTTCAATGACATGGGGACGTACTCACAAAATGCTGGGAAGGAAAGCTTGCGGTATTATGATTGAACAAATTGTGTATGTGTATGTGTGTGTGAGTGTGTGAGCATATATATCTGATATTCATCCATAAAGAGATGCGTAAAAATATTTATAGTCTTATGTGGCAGGAATATGGGTGATTTTCATTTTCACTTTTTATGCTTCCCTCATGTTTTCTAAGCTTTATATTATTCATAAATATTGCTTCTATAATCTGAAAAAAATTTGTGTATTAAAAAGATTAAGGATAATGAAGAGATTTCTTTCCTTTTCTGAACTCGTATTCCTGCTGCTCCCCCTTGCTCCCGGCATCAGTCAGCGTTCCTTTTGCAAGAACATAGTACCTGACCCCTACATCTCCAAGAAGGACAGCTTAAATTGGCTCACAGTTCAGCCTATGAGTGCCTGGCTCCAAGGCAGAGAAAATGTGGAGGAAAGATGTGCAGGACCAAAGCTGCTGTTTGTGGCAATAAAACAGAGGTAGGGGACTGTGCCAGAGAGGAAGGAGCCAGGACAAGACTTGGACCCAAGCCCAGGCTTTCGTGACCCACTCAGACACACATTGAAGTGTTGTCCACCAATCTCCCAGGCAGATCCCACAGCCAGGGCCTCCATGCTAAGTGCCACATTCTGTCCCTGATATATTGAGGAGGATCCTGGACCAAAAGTCAGAAGCTGTGCTCCTCAAATTATGACCCAGAAATGCACTAGCTATGTGACCTTAGGTAAATCTAACATTTTTATCTTAGCTTTCTCGTTTGTAAAAAGGGGATTTCTACCTTTTATGTGTGTAACATTGGACAGTTTTGAGGGCAAAAGTGGAAAAACAATGTGGGGAAAACACTTTGTAAACTAAAGAGCAAAGTGTGCCCAGACTCCTTGGTCATTTGCTGGATGAACTGCCAGAACCCACCAAAAGCTGGAACACACTTGGCTATAATTTATTACAGGGAAATAATACAGTTCACAGTCTGCTAGAGAGGCAGAGGGAGGTTCCAAGGATCCAGGACATGTGACCCTCTTGCCGTCCATGTGTGACAGTACCAGGGAGGAATGCTCACCAGAGAACCTGGCATAAGCTCTGGTGTCCAGCATTTCTATTATGGTTCTGGTCTCCAGTGGACTAACAGCACATCATCTAGCACTCTACCCCAGCTCCCCCAGACCTTTCAGTGTGGCCAGTCCACATATGAAGATTGCCTGGCATAACGGCCCTGTCCTAAAAGCCAATGTGGACAGCCCTGCTTTTACTAGATATGATTTCCTAGGATCTATCTACTAGATATGATTTCCAAGGACAAAGCTCCATTTCTTTTTCTTTTCTTTTCTTTTTTTTCTTGTATTTTAGGAAAGGGTCTACAAGATGTTCCGGGTCTTACTACTAGATCAGACTCATGGTGATCCTCCTATTTTAAGAGCTGGGATTATAGGCATGTGCCACCATACCCAGTCTCAATTGTGTCTCAGCACACCCCGGGGGCAGGGCTGGCATGGCAGGCCCAGGGATGGATTCCCTGGCCCCTGCACCTGCTTGCAGGCACTTTATTCCGCTGAGCTATTTGGCCAGCCCTCAAAGCCCCATTTCTATTGGATATAACCTCTCAAGGGCCTCCCTTTGGGTGAGGCAAATTCTGCACTAAACATAAGGTGATTTTAAAAAAGAATAAAAAATAAGTTTAAATGTAGAGATGATGTTAGGATAGAGGAATCTATTATTTCCTAAGTTCCAAGACTATAATAGAAAAGGGCATGAACTCGAGTTGCAAGTGGTACCGCAATTTCCTATTTCCTTGAACTGTGGAATCTTCAGGACACCCTCCAAGAGTCAGCCTGTTCCCGTGGGTTCTGCAGAGACTTTTGCTGCAGTTGTTATTTACCACAGAGAGGAATTAGGCTGAGAAAACACTTACTACCCTGCTGGGTATTTGAATCTAACCCTTGCCTCAGTGTTAGCAGCACAGCAAGTATGTCTCTCCACTAACTAATTTATCTAATGTGAACGAGTCCAAGCTGCCTTTATGGGCTCCTCGATCGGGCCCACCTCACTCTGGTGTAGTGGTGCTTACTCCACGGAGTGTGGAGTGATGAGGAAAATCCAGCTTGTTTGCTTTGCAGAGTTGCCTTTCTTGAGCGCTGTCGGGTTAGGTCTGTCAGATTTCGTAAGAGTGAGATTAGCAAAACAAAACTCCAAGTTTGATTCCCATACTTAAAAATATATAAATGGACAGTGAAGAAATCATCCCTGGAAGCTCACTAGAGGGTGACTGTGCTTCTGCAAAAAGAACGGACCGCAGCAACAGAAGATAAGAGCCACAGATGGAGTCCAGTCACGCTGCTGCCTCCCTCAGAGGGGAAGATTTCACTTTCATATGTTGGTTTTCTGAGAATGAATACCTTGTAATAAACTGATATTGCCTGTAAATTTTAGTTGTTCATTTTGTTTCTTTCAAGGAAAAACTGGCCATGCAGAAGTCATCAGGGTTGTGTACCAGCCAGAGCGCATCAGCTTTGAGGAACTGCTCAAGGTCTTCTGGGAGAATCACGACCCGACCCAAGGTAGAGTGATGAGTGAGCCAGTATTTAATTATCTTACTAATTACAGCTGGGATAATTAGTGTTTGAGCTGCATGGAAGAGATGAACCTTGAAATCACACAGGAGCTCAAGAATATGATTGCAGACATTTATTGACAGAGAAGAGGAGGGGTTGAGGAGAAAAAGGGGTGAGAGAAGAAAGGCACAGCCACATTCGGTGCCCCTCCCCCCTCACAGCTGTCAGGGGTGGGAAAATTCCCACAGAGAAAGCTGCCAGACAATGGAGATCCGTTCACCTTTGATTATTGCATTATTCTTCCTTAATGCAGTCTTTTGTCTACAAAATTAAAGTGTCTTTCTAGCAGCTCCAAAGTTTTCCTGATTTATGGTTCCTTTATTTCCTGAAGTTTAGCCTTTCTCATCCTTTGACGTTATCAGGTTTTTTTTTTAAATGTCTGTGGGTGATTTAAAAAAGAAGAATATAAAGATAAAAAACAATCTTCTATAGGTCCACAATGCTTGGGTTATTTAAATATTTCATTTGTCTCCTTGGAATTTGTTATGTGGAAATATTAATATATTTGGACTATGCACAAAGGTGGACAGAAATTTTATTTGAATGCACACATAAGCGAACAATCTCACGTTGTCAGATATCGTTGGAATAGCCAGTAATGAAGCAATTTCCTACTTTCGTCCTAACACCTTACAAGTGCTGTTTTGCCCAGATGATCTGATATTCTGAGCCATGTGAACTGGGAAGTCCTGCACAGGTGTGACTGTGCACCGACCCTCTTCCTTTAGCAGTCTTCTTACCAACTCTTTTCCTTGGCTACCAGGTTTTTATGTTGTATGTATGCCATGCTGATTGCTTCTTGAGAGGCAGACATGGTTTCTTTCCAAATGTGTATAATGCTTATGGTTGGATCTTACTGTGCCCCATCAACACAGGTTAGGGGGCAGCTGTTATGTGGAAATATTAATATTTTTGGACTGTGCACAAAGGTCCTATTTCTTTTGCTTTCTCTTTCTTTCTTTCTTTCTTTCTTTCTTTCTTTCTTTCTTTCTTTCTTTCTTTCTTTCTTTTTTCTTTCTTTCTTTTTCTTTTTCTTTTTTCGCAGAACCGGGGATTGAACTCAGACCCTTGCACTTGCAAGGCAAGCACTTATTCTACTGAGCCATCTCCCTGGCCCCATGAGTGCTGTTTCTGAGAACCACCAGATGTCAGGGCTGTGTGTCAGAGGGCAGAAGTCAGGGCAAAGGCAAGCACAGCAGAGTAACAGCGTGGGCAGGGTCAAGCTTTGGGATACAAGCAGATCCACTAAGGTGGCTGATACCCAGAGGTCTGGTCTAGGAGAAAGGCCAGGACAGCATTGCCATGATGTTTGCTTTGACAGGGCAGTGAGTTCCTAGGTGGGAGAGTAGGTGGAGGACTGCAGGGACCAGAACACTATAACCAGAAGGTACAAGTGCCACCCCAGTTGGGACCACAGGACAAAACACACGAGCAAGGTAGGCCTGAGGACTTGGACAGGGTGCTATGTTTGGCGTGTATCATCTCACAGTGGTGGCAGCAGGAGCTCGTGCTGGTGAATATTCCATTAGATAAGGCAGATGTTCTACCATTTGACTGGCAAAGCCCAAGTTCAGGGCAGGGTGCTGGGAGCTCCAAAATTATCAGTGGAGACACACATCAGGAGCCCAGCTGAGTCTGCAGCCATAGACGCCCTAGTCTGTGTCTGTGGCCTGGATAACTAGGTAGCATCTCCCAAGGCTTTGTCCCCACAGAATTTCGCAAAGGGTGTCATCTGCTATTGACTTTTCTGTCTTCACCTCTCTTAACTTCCTACCCATTCCATCATATCTTTGTTAGCATGCATCAGTTCGTAGGTTGCTGGGCCCTAAATCTTGCTGGAGGGTGTGGAAATGTAAACAGAATCTCAAAGACAGTCTTGTGCTCCCCCACTTCACATACCACATTTGCTTCAACTGTGTTCCAGTTTTCACCCAGTCACCTCTTGGAAGTCCTTGGTTTACTGTCTGAGTAGTTTCTGAGGGCCACAGTAACAAAGTGCCTCAGACTCAACAGCTTCAACAATAGACATGCATTTCCTCACTGTTCTGGAGGCTGGATGTGAAGGGCAAGGTGTCGCCAGCCACCTGAGGCATTTTTGCTTGGCTAACTGATGGCCAGTCTAAGTCCTCATGGGGTCCTTCCTCTGTGTGTCTCTTACTCTTCTAAGGAAATCAATCAAACCATGCCACCCTAATGGCCTTGTTTTACCTTAATTACCTTCTTGAAAAAGTCAAACTACAAATCAGTCACATTCTGTGGTACGGGGCTAGGACCTCAGTGTGTGAATCTGGGAATAACAGCTGAGCCGTTGACATTGTTCAATAATGTGACAGCTTTATCTGGTCATTGTCATTGTCTTCTTCTTCTTCTTCTTCTTCTTCTTCTTCTTCTTCTTCTTCTTCTTCTTCTTCTTCTTCTTCTTCTTCCTCCTCCTCCTCCTCCTCCT